TCCAGCCGCTGCAGCACAGGCTGCAGCAGGGTGGTGTCATCCTGAGAAAGGGTCCACTGTGGAAATGCACTGTGCTACAGGGGCAGTAACCCCTGCAGACTCCACGGATGTTCTAGTACACCAGCAGAAAGGACTGCAGCCGCACAAACTCACTGAAGAAATCAATAGGAAATTTAAAACTTCATTGATGTTAATGAAAATGGAAGCACCAGCACCCATGGGATACTACAAAAGCATACATAAAAAAAGATATCATGAATCTCAAGGACTTAGAAAAACATAAACTAAAGTCATTATAAGGACAGACTAAGAAGAGAAATAAATGAAATGGAAACAAAAATCCCAAGATCCCTGAAATGAAGAGTTGGATTTTTTAAAAGATAAAGATCAATTATCTTTCGGTGCACTAAGAGAAAAGATGACTCACATCAGAGATTAAAAGGGAAAAATTAAAAATGATACTACAGAAATACAGATTAGAGACTATGAACACAACCATACACCAGCAAGTTGAAAAACTTAGAAGAAATGCATAATATTCTAGAGACATAAAACTTGCCAAAAAATTGAACCATGAGGACCTAAAAAACTTGAACTGACCAAAAATGAATGCTATTGAATCATTAATATTTTAAAAAGTCTCCCATCAAGGAAAAGCCCAAGACTAAATGACTTCACTGCTGAATTTTTCCAACCATTTAAGGAAGAGCTAACAAAAATTGTTCTGAAATTATGACAGAAAATTGATAGGGAACACTTGCAAACTCATTCTGTAAAGTCAGTTTTAGAATCACCTTGATTCTAAAGCCAGAGAAGGACACAATGCAAAAGTAAATAGATCAGCATCCCTAATGAGTATTTTTCCAACTATGCCAATCAAAACACTAGCAAAATCAGTTCTACAACATACCAAAAGAACCCTATTATGATGAAGTGGGATTTGTCCTAGGGATGATTTAACATTCACAGATCAATAAAGATGATTATTTCAAACACAAAAACATTTGGCAAAATCCAGCTTTTTTTTAATTGACTTGAGAGGAAGAGTTACAGACAGACAAAGGGAGAGACAGGTCTTCCATCCATTGGTTCACTCGCCAATGGCTGCAATGGCCAGACCTGGGCCCATCAGGAACCAGGAGCTTCCTTCCTCCAGGTCTCCCATATGGGTGCAGGAACCTAAGCACTTGGGCCATCACCTTCTGTTTTCCCAAGCCATAGCAGAGAGCTGGATCAGAAGAGCAGCAGCCTAGACTAGAACTGGCACCCATTTGGGATGCTGGCACCACAGGCAAAGGCTTAGCCAACTATGCCACAGTACTGTCCCCTTGCCCTAACATCTCTCTAAAGCTAAAAACCTTCAACATATCAAAGGCTGCACATGACAAACCCACAGCCAGGAACTTAATAATGGGGAGAAATTGAAAGCATTGCCTCTCAGATCTGGAGCCCAACAAGGATGTCTGATGTCACCAATCTTATTCAATATAGTGTTTGAAGTTTGAACCAGTGCAATTAGGCAAAGTAAAGAAAGACAAGGTATACAAATAACAGAGCAAGTTAAGATAGCCATTGATAGATGACACAATTCAATGTATAGAGAAACCTGAAGACTCCACCCATGAAACCCTTAGAACTTTGAAGAGTTCACTGAAGTTTCAGGATGCCTAACCAACATAATACAGTCACTAGCAATTTTACACAGTTGCAGACTGAGAAATAAGTAAAACCAATCCCACTTGTAATACCTACAAGAGAACTTAAGGAGGGGCCAGCATTGTGGCCTAGTGGGTTAAGCCACTGTTTGCAACACCAGTATACCATATTGGAGTGCTGGTTGAGTCCCAGCTTCCTGCTAATGCACCTAAGAAAGTAATGGGTGATAGCTCAAGTACTTGGGCTGCTACCACCTACATGGGAGACCCAGATGGAGTTCCTGGCTTTAACCTGGCTCAGCCTTGGCTTTTGCAGGCATTTGGGGAGTGAATTAGCAGATGGAAGATCTATAACTGACTGTTGATTAAATATATTATTTTTAAAAACCATCTCAGGGCCAGCGCCGCGGCTCACTAGGCTAATCCTCCACCTTGCAGCGCCGGCACACCAGGTTCTAGTCCTGGTCGGGGCGCCAGATTCTGTCCCGGTTGCCCCTCTTCCAGGCCAGCTCTCTGCTGTGGCCAGGGAGTGCAGTGGAGGATGGCCCAAGTGCTTGGGCCCTGCACCCCATGGGAGACCAGGAGAAGTACCTGGCTCCTGCCATCGGATCAGCGCGGTGCGCCGGCCGCAGCACGCTGGCCGCGCCGGCCATTGGAGGGTGAACCAATGGCAAAAAGGAAGACCTTTCTCTCTGTCTCTCACTGTCCACTCTGCCTGTCAAAAAAAAAGAAAATGTCCATACTAGGGTTGGGCATTTAGCCTAATGGCTAAGATGCCTGTGTCCCACATTGGAATACCTAGATTCAATACCTGGCTCTGGCACAGACTCCAGGTGCCAGCTAGTACAGACTGGGGGAGGCAGTGGTAACAACTCAAGTAATTGGGTTTCTGCCAGCCACATGGGAGACCTGGATTGCATTCCAGGCTCCCAGCTTTGGCTTTGAGCCTGGCCCAGCTGAGCCCATTGCAGGCAAAAGGAAGTGAACCAGTGGTTGGGAGCTCCTTCTCTGTCTCTTATAAATGAGGAAATGATATTTAAGATGCTCATCCTACCCAGAGCAGTTTCAGAGTCATTGCAACCCCCATCAGAATACTAGTGACCTTCTTCCCAAAACTAGAAAGCAAGAATGACAAAGAATAGGGACAGAAACAGAGGGAGAGCTTCCATCTGCTGGATTACTTCCCAAGTGGCTTCAACAGCCAGGCCAAAGCCAGGAGCCAGAAATTGCATCCAGCTTTCCCACATGGGTGTTAGGGGCCCAAGTTCATCCGCTGCCTTCCCAGGTACATCAACAGAAAACTGAATTGGAAGCAGAATAACTGGGACTCAAATAGGCACTGTAATATTGTATGTTGGTGACACAAGCCATTGCTTATCCCACTGTGCCACAATACCAGCCCTGAGAAAACCAATCTTAAAATGTATATTTGGTAACCAAAAAACCCCAGATAGACAAAGCATTCTTGAATAAAAAGAACAAAGCTGGAGGTGTCACAGTTGTGGACTTCAAGATATGCTGCAGAGCTATTATAACCAAAACAGCATGGTACTGGCATCAAAACAGATATAGATCTGGGCCGTAGTAGGTGAAACAACCACCTGTGATGCCAGTATCCCATATGGGTGCTAGTTCAAGACCCAGCTGCTCCACTTGCAATCAAGCTCCTTGCTAACAACCTAGAAAAAGCAGTGGAAAATGATGTAAGTGCTTGGGCTCCTGTACCCACATGGGAGACCTGGAAGAAAACTCCTGGCTCCTGACTTCAGATCAGCCCAGCCCTGGCTGTGGAGGCCATTTGGGGAGTGAACCAGCATGTGGAAGATCTCCCTCTGTGTAACACTTTCAAATAAATAAGTGGAATAGACATAGACCAATTGAACAACATAGAGATTCCTCAGGTATAAGTCCACACATCTTTTACCAACTCATCCTTGAAAACAGCACCAAAAACATACACTGGAGAAAAGCAGCCCCTTCGGTTGGTGCAAGGAAAACTGAATATTCACGTGCAGATTAAAGCAAGACACGTAGCCCCCACCTCTCAGCCTATACAAAAATGCAAATCAAAAACCACGATGAAGTTTCATCCCACTCCAATTAGAATGACTTATCAAAAAGAAAATAACAGATGCTGGTGAGGATGGAGAGAAAAGGGAGCCTGTATATACTGTCAGTAGGAATTCCTACGTGGAGGTTCCTCAGAAAATGAAAAATAGAGAGTGTGACCAGGCTGTCCTGTTTTTGGAGCTATATCCAACAGAAATGAGACTAACATGAAATAGATATTTGCATTCTCATATTCATTGCAGCACTATTCACAGTGGCCAAGACACAGAATCAACCTCGTTAACTACCAGTGGACAAATGGACAAACCAAAGGAGGCATCACAGACCTCAGTAAAATACTACTACTCAGCCATAAAAAAACGAAACCTTAATGTTTGCAAAATGGGCAGGAGATCATTATGTAATATAAGCCATACCTAGAAAGACAACTACCTTATGTGCTGTCATACAGAAACGGATCTGAACTTAGAGATCAGCAGAGGCTGGGAAGGGTTGGGGGATGCTTAGAGGTTGGACAGCAGATACCAACACAGAATGAGATCTCACCAACAACTCCTGGAGCTGCCTGGTACAGTGGGGTGACTGTCATTCACAGTAGTACGTTACATACTGCATAAAGATCTGGAGAAGAGTAGCTGGTAGGCTGTCCAAGCACAAAGCAGAGATAAGGAAAAGACTGGTTGCCTGGTTTGACAGGTTTGTACTGTCTGTGTGTGTGTTGAAGCACAAGTGTTACATGTGAGTCAAAACATTTAAACCACTTTTTTAAATAAACAGCACAAACAAGTCAGTATTGTTCATATGCTCCAAGTTGCTCTCATGCCTTCTCTGAACACAAATATCAAGCCCTACATCACTTGGTCCATGCATGGTATTAACTGGAATTTAGACAATCCGTGGTTTGCAGGAATACAGCCCCTTACGCTCTGGGCATACTGCAGATATGAAGAGTAATGTCACATTCTGCTGAGTTTATGAACCACCTAGAGGAGAGTGATGGTTATTGAAGTCTTTTTCACTTGAGAAAAAGGAGGAAGCCGAGACCCACAGGGTGAAATGACCTGCCACATGTTGGTAGCACTAGACTTCACTGCCACGATCATAGTGCGTGCTCTTAAGCCCTCCAGTTTTCTACCCTGGAGAGTACCGTGTAACGGCAGGGCAGCAGAGAAGTCTTCGGAAACTGCATCCTAAATCCAAAGCCCCTTCGGGTGTGAGGAGTAGGAAAAGCTCCTGATGGACAGCTGTGCTGATCTTGGCCTCTTTCCCTTTCAGATTCTGAGCTTGCCTTGATGTACAACGACTCCTCTGTCTTAGAGAACCACCATTTGGCTGTGGGCTTCAAGTTGCTTCAGGAAGAGAACTGTGACATTTTCCAGAACTTGACCAAAAAGCAGAGACAATCCTTAAGGAAAATGGTCATTGACATTGTGAGTAACTGACGAAGCAGAAATGTGATGCACGTTACTATTTTACATGCAAGAACGAGATGGATATCAAACTAAGCGAAGCGTCTTCCAAACCTGTCGTTGCCCTTTACGTTCTAGAATCTGCCAGCACTGACATTCTGTAGTAGGTTTTCCCACTTCCACCAGTTTGGATTTAAGAATGTCAGGTTGGGCTTTGTTTTCTGAGTTCCTCCCATCTGGCTGCAGGCAAAGCTGAGTAACAACCATTAACTGTATTTCCAAATAGTAGTAAAGAGAACTTTGTTCTGAACACAGAGAAATGGTCAGTGTTCGAGGTGATGGTTATGCCAGTTACCAGGGTCTGTTAATTACACGTTTGTATACGTGTATTGAAATATCACACTGTGTCCCTAAATCTAGCTACTGTTATTACGCATCAGTTAAGAAAACACATTTGAGCTGTGGCCTGTTCCCTGCTTTCTCCCGTCTACTTGGAAATATCCATGGCTTTACTGTTCTTTGTTCCTGTTATTCAGAATGATGGCAGCTCAGGAAAATCCCCAGTTATCAACTTATTCTGTCAAGCTTTGTACAGAGGCAAGAATTGCCTGCTGAATAAGTAGAAAATTAACTAGAATATTCTGTTTCTTAAGTAGTGTAAACAATTTTAATTCAGTTCACTGTAGTCCTGGGAATGGGGAAAAACTCCTGCTAAACACATGGTATCTTATCCATGGACATAGAATGCCGTTTCCCACCACGAAAGTAGTGCTCATGCCTAGTATTTCCGCATTCTGTATTCACTTATCTGGGTTTCCGGAAAACTTGAAGACTCTGCCCCAAGAAGGAGTAAAGAACTTCTGTATACTGTCTAGTAGATGCCATAATGGTTTTCTGTTCCTTCCCACATTCTGCATATTTTCATGTGCAAAGTCTGGCTGTTTCCTCTGGTCTTTACTAAAATACTCTGTCTTTTAAGGTACTTGCAACAGATATGTCAAAACACATGAATCTGCTGGCCGATTTGAAAACTATGGTTGAAACTAAGAAAGTGACTAGTTCTGGAGTTCTCCTTCTTGATAATTACTCAGATAGGATTCAGGTAAAGTACTTGAGCTGTGTGCACATATGCACGTGTCTGTGTATGCGGCTTTGATACGATTTCCCCTTCACGTTTCTAATAATTATAGGCACGATCTTTGTGCAAATTCTCATTTCCGAGAATTAACCAAAGTGTTACTGGTCTTTCGTTTGTATACATTCTTAAAATCACTGGTATCTCGACAAAACTAACTTCATAAGCAGCTCTGAATTTAATCAGTCACGCCATGAATAGTTTGTGTGATGATGCATAGATGTGGTCACAGTGGCATAATTTGAAGCTAACAATACAAGTGTGAACCACACGCCAACACACGGTTGAGCTGTTGGGAATGAATCTTACACTACATGTATTTTTAAGTGTTACAGTCACCCCATGTGAATTTTTAGTTATAAAAGGAGCAGCTGTGAACAGAAAACACCTCCATCTATTTTAGGTCCTTCAGAATATGGTGCATTGCGCAGACCTGAGCAACCCCACCAAGCCCCTGCAGCTGTACCGCCAGTGGACAGACCGGATCATGGAGGAGTTCTTTCGCCAAGGAGACCGAGAGAGGGAGCGTGGCATGGAGATAAGCCCCATGTGTGACAAGCACAACGCGTCTGTGGAGAAATCACAGGTAACGGATGATGCTTACGGCCCCCGGAGCAAAGCGGCGGCTTCAGCATGCCGTTATCTGGCATCCACGTCTCCTGGCGTTTTGTCATCTGACAAGCTCAGGTTCACGTCTGCCTTTACAACCCTCATACTTTCACATTTGTGTCTTACATTCCTGTGCTTCAATGTGGAGACTTCTAAAAGTTGATAGCCAAGTATAGTTAGTGGATGAGTTTGTTTGGATATTCATGCCGTTTGTCATGAGATGCATTTCCCACCCATGTTTTGAAGTCCCCTATATCCATTCTTGTGTTTATTCATCCTGACCACTCAGACAGTGTATTCGCAGAGTCCATGACATTTCCAAAATGCGGTCGAGGCCCCGTGCCTTACTACAGAAGCACATGCAATTTTTATGTTGTTTCCCTCTGGAACGGAGGCTTCTGGAAGCTACTTTTCACCCACTAAGTGACAGTATTTCTACATGGGGTGTCGTCCCAACAGTGACCAACTTCCCAGCCTAGGGTCAGTAGTCTTCCGTTCAGGGTTCTATTTGTAGGCCATGATCCAGTTAACCATGTGCACTCTTGCTTAGTCCCAAGTCCTCTAATTCGTGCTGTATTTGTTTTGTCAGGTGGGCTTCATCGACTACATTGTCCATCCTCTCTGGGAGACTTGGGCCGACCTTGTACATCCCGATGCACAGGACATCTTGGACACTTTGGAGGACAATCGTGAATGGTACCAGAGCACAATCCCTCAGAGCCCCTCGCCTGCGCCTGACGACCAAGAGGAGGGACGGCAAGGTCAAACTGAGAAATTCCAGTTTGAACTCACTTTGGAGGAAGACGGAGAGTCAGACACCGAAAAGGACAGTGGGAGTCAGGTGGAGGAAGACACTAGCTGCAGTGACTCCAAGACTCTTTGCACTCAAGACTCAGAGTCGACTGAAATCCCCCTCGATGAACAGGTGGAAGAGGAGGCCGTAGGGGAAGAGGAGAGCCAGCCCGAGGCTTGCGTAATAGATGACTATTCCCCTGACACGTAACAGTGCAAAGACTTTCATGCCTTTTTCTTTTCTTTTTTCTTTTTTTTTTTTTTTTAAGTAGAAAAGTTGTTTCCAAAGTGCATGTCACATGCCGCAACCATGGTCACACCTCACTATCATCTGCCAGGACGTTTGTTGAACAAAACTGACCTTGACTACTCAGTCTGGCGCTCAGGAATATCTAACCAGTTTCTTCACCTCCATGTCGTCAGAGCAAGGGGGACAGCTTCACGAACAGCGTTTTAATAAGATTTCAGCTCGCGAGAGCTGATGAGGCCGATAAAAATCAACTCCACAATGTTTTCAATGGAGCGTGGCTCATCGGGCAGCCCTAGGGTTGTGATGGGATTTGGAGTTTTTGTTTGTTTGCAATATTTTCAGAAGAAATAAGGCATTGCACAGAGCGAACTTGCTGGTTGAGCAGCAGATACGGCAAGAACAGAACACAGCATGGATCTGTTACCAGAAGGAAGATGAGCCACGGAAATTGCATAATTTTCTAATTTCAAGTCTTCCTGATACATGACTGAATAGTGTGGTTCAGTGAGCTGCACTGACCTCTGTTTTGTATGATATGTAAAACAGATCTTTTTTGTAGAGCTTACTTTTATTATTAAATGTATTGAGGTATTATATTTAAATAACTATGTTCAGAACTTCATCTGCCACTGGTTATTTTTTTCTAAGAAGTAACTTGCAAGTTTTCAGTACAAATCTGTGCTACACTGGATAAATCTAATTTACAAATTTTACTTGCACCTTATAGTTCATAGCAATTAACTGATTTGTAGTGATCCATTGTTTTATATACCAACGACTTCCATATTTTAAAACAGAAAAAATATCTTTCTGTTGCAGGAAACCCTTTTTGTAAGTCTTTGTTTACTTTGCTTTTTGTTCCACTCTTCAAGTGGAGTTGCTCTCCACCAACATTTTTCCTCACAGTGTGCAAAGTGAATATTTGTTCTGTAATACTTTGATGTGTGTTATGTCAAATGTGTCTTAACCCTCATAGAAACTCAGTCATCAGCTGGTGTTGTCTGAAGCAAGTGGGAGATATATAAATACCCAGTAGCTAAAATGGTCAGTCTTTTCTAGATATTTTCCTACTTAGTGTCTTCTGGTGACTTTCTGCTGTGTCGATAGACATGCATCTCCCAAGTGCATGTCTTTGTAATAACCTGCACATTTCGTGCTCATTTTTGTTGTTTTCACCGCCTGTTATATACTAAGAAAAGTGTTTTTCCCTTTCACTGCTTTATTTAGTGTGTGTCTGAACCTCTGTCCATGTTCAGTAGATGGAGTCTTATCAAATATATCACCACCATTCTGATGGGTGAAAATAAACAGGTAGTCAGGTTACAGTTCGCATTCTTTTCTTCCATGAGGTTGTATATCTTGACTCGGTTTTCTTACTGGGTTCCAGAGAAAAGTTAATAGTATGAAAAGCTGCTTAGCTAGCTCTTAACAGTATATTAACAAACCCCAGTACAACAGCTTCCCTTTTGTTCCTGTAATTTCACCATGTGATTAAAAACTAGATGAGGACTAGCCCCGAAAAGTGGTTGTAAGTGTAGGGACTGCTCTCAAAGGACAGCCACGTAACAAATAGGAATTGCATTGTCACCTGTCATCCTCCCATCAGCATCCATCTTGCAGTGGGGGAATTACTTTTTAAACCACATTGAGGGAGAGAAATTGATGATTCCACTGGCACCAGAGGGTTGGTAATGGAATGCATTTGAAAATACTGGGTTGGTAAACAGATTGTGCCTTAATGCAAAATTAAAGGTCACCTAACTGATTTCAGCACCAGGAACTGTATTGCAGGTTTAGAGATTAATTCCTTAGTGTTCACCTGCTGATAGCAATGGGCATCATGGCACATTCATTTAGTTTTGATTTTCCTCCCATTTCAATGGTTTGTACAGTCAAGAGGTTTGGAGCTCAGAATAATCACTTTCGTATTAATAGACAAGAATGACAGTGAAAATTAAGGAGATATCAAACCAAATGGAAAATAAACAGGAAAAAAAGTCACAATCTGGAAAAACACTTGTATAAAGGAGCCTTCTGGGGACTACAAAATCAAGGCATCAGCCCAGGGGAATGACCCAAGCTGATGATACCATCCCAAGAGCTCAGAACCTTTCTAATGAACTAATGGCCAGGTTTCCACCTCCCCCTGTAGAGATCAATTATAAGTCTTTGTAAACGAAAGCCGAGGTTTGCCAAGTGGTTCCTTGAGAACGTTTGAGAAGGTGTCTGCCCCTGAGGGAGGTCTAGAGGGAAAGGCAAGGAGTCTTGGTTTCTTTTCCCAGAACATTCCCACTTCCTTCTCTCCCTACACTTGGTATTTCCCCCACAGAGTGCCTAGAATCTTAATTTAAAAAAAAAAAAGCAATATGTCACAAACAAACTCAGACCTGAAAGGGTTTATAACTGCACTAAGAGAGGTTTTCTCCCTCAGTTTGTTGGTTTTTTAATGGTACCATGTTATAAAGATAGCACCAATGGACAATCAAATTATAGAATAGGCCCAATATCCAAGAGGCAGGGACTAATGCACTGTACAATCTGTTTACCCTCTCCCTTCTCTATATTTCTCTCCTTTTCTCTCGCCAAAGTGTGTTTCAGAAGTACACACTGCTTTAAGAAGAACACCCTTTTACAAGTGGCTTTACATTTCCTAAAATGCCATAAGATAATGCAATATCTGGGTACTGTATGGGAATAAAATGTCCAAGTTTGCATAAAACCAGTACATTTCAGCTTGCAAGTTACTGAATACAATAATGCTGTTTTCATTTTGTTTTCTTTTACATCAGTTAAAATCCACAAGAAAATAATGTAGATAGAACAAATTAAAGTCAAAGAAAGAAAAAACTTGAATGAAAAGGATTTTACAGAAAGCTTTATGGTAATTTTTGAGTGCATTATTTATTTTTTGTGCCATGCATTGTTTTCTCACCAAATGACCTTACCTGTAATACAGTCTTGTTTGTCTGTTTACAACCATGTATTTATTGCAATGTACATACTGTAATGTTAATTGTAAATTATCAGTTCTTATTAAAACATCATCCCATGATGGGATGGTGTTGATATATTTGGAAACTCTTGGTGAGAGAATGAATGGTGTGTATACATACTCCTTGTACATTTTCTTTTCTCCTGTAATATAGTCTTGTCACCTTAGAGCTTGTTTATGGAAGATTCAACAAAATTATAAAATACATAAAGATATATACATTTAAAAATATAGCTGCAGGTCTTTGGTCCCAGGGCTGTGCCTTAACTTTAATATTTTCTTCTGTTTTGCTGCATTTCAAAGTAAGGTAATGGTGGGGCTAGGGCTGGGTATTTTAAATCCAAGCTTTCAATTCATTGGCTATCTGGAAATACCCGAATTTTACAAAATCAGATAAGCTCTAGAAGATTGTGCAGCCCTCAAGACATAAGCTTTTAAGTACTTCTTGCCATGGAGTGGTATTGCATATAGATTTTGCCTTTTTTGTGGATCAGGAGCTACTCAATTTTTTTTTTCATTCAAACACTACTGGAAAAAATCTATCTTTGTCCAGTGATGATGGAGTCTCCTTGGCTCCTGGAGCCCACAAGAAAATTAACTTGATTGGAAATTGGAGCCATAGGTCATTTGTGTTAGTCATCTGTTAATTAGCTTCCTGTCATGTTAACAGAATATAAAGTACGAGAAAGTTAAGATTGACCAGATTACCTTATGTATTTGTAAACTCATTGAATACAAAGTTGGGTATAATGCCAGTTTACATGGCATAAAGGATTTGCCATTCTCTAGAATTTTTTTCTTCAAAAATTATGTCTTTTTAGAATATAACGTAACCCCACACAATGGCCAGCTCCTGAAAGCACTGAAAAATTTCTCACGGATAACATGGAAGCCTCTTCCCACTGCTGCCCAGCCCTTGGAACTTGTGACTTCATCAGTGAAGGGAGAGAGCCTTTTCCTAGGAAAAATGAGCCTCTTATTTTTGACACAAACTGTAGATTTTAGCAGCCCTGGCCCAAAGGAATTTGATTACTTTTGTTTTAAACAGTACAAAGGGGACACTATAAGTACAAAAAACATCCTTACTGATTTTAGTTTTTTTTTAATTTCATTTCTTTGGATATGTTTTAAGAGTGGTAAATTGTGTGTGAGCATTATAAATGATTATTTTAGTGGTTTCTTAGCCTCTTACAGCCCATGGGGATAGTACTGTACATCAATACCTTCATATGAAATTTTTATATGCAACAAAAATAAAAGCATGGGTTGATTCTGCCTATTTATGACTTGGTATTTTTTACAAATAAAATTTTTTAATTTATAGTTCAGTTATTCCACATTTCCAAGAGTAACAAATGTAGTCTAAATGAATAGACTAAGGAAATCGTTAAGTTAGTGTTGATATGCAAAACCAATTGAAAACAAATTACATCAACTAATCTTGCTATATAAGAATTTCTCCAGACTGCTTGGCCGATACAGTTAAGTAGTGGTTTCTAAATAGACTTGGAAAGAAGTCTTCCATGCTTAAATGACTGTTCTGTTACATTCTGTTTGTAAAGTTAGTGCTTCAAGGTCAGCATTCCGGCACAGCTTAAGCCACTGCTTGTGGCACCAACGTCCCGTCTCAGAGTGCTTCCTGGAGTCTAAGCTGCTCTTCTAATCCAGCTTCTTGCTAATACACCTGGGAAGGCAGTGGAAAATGGTCCAAGTACTTGCCCTGCTACATGGTGGGAGACTAGGATGGAGTTACTGGCTCAGCCCTGGCTGTTGTGTGCATTTGAAGAATGAACCAGCAGATGGAAGATCTTTCTCCCCCTCTCCCCACACCCCCATAACCTGTTGCTCTGCTTCTCATAAAATTTATTTCATAGCATTATTACCTCACTTAATGAAAAAAATGTACTAGAAGCTAGCTAGGAAGTGACATTTGAAAAGTTCTTGGATGAAGACAAAAATATCTTAAGGAAACAATTTCAAGAGAACACAATAGAACTAGCAGAGCTATGGAAGTAATACAAACCAAATTTAAAGTTCACTAGACAACATGATAGAAGGTATTGCTAAAAGATAGGTTAAAAGAATGAGCTTGCAGATAGGCAAAGTGAAGATACATAGAGAAAATGAGGAATCAAAGTGAATGAATAAAACAGGAAAATGGCAGTAACATTAAAAGAGATAGCATCTCTGACTTACTAATGTTCACAGGGACTTGAGCATTTTAACAGGTTAGAAAAGCATATTCAAGAAAAGGCCTGAACACTGCCCAAACTAGAGGAAGATAGAACTATCTGGGTATTGGAAGGTCAGAGGTCACCAAATTCAATTCAACCAAGTTTATCCCAAGACATTATAATCAAGCTCGCCAAGGTTAAAGAGGACTCTCAAAACTCCAAGAGAAAAGAATAGCACAGAAAGGGATTTCCAACTCATCGGACTGTAGACTTCTAAGCAGAAACCTCACAGGCCAGGAGGGAGTAAAGAAAGAGTCACAGTATTCAAAGGAAAAAAGCTGCAAAAAGAATATTGTACCTGGCAAAGCCACCCTTTAGAATACAAAGGACAGAAAAAGACATTCTAAAACAAAAGCAAATTAATTTATCACCACCACGGCCGTCTTACAGAGAGTGCTAGTGGGAGTTGTCAAACTGAAAGAGATGCCAAGACAACACCAGAAGCAGTAAGTTCAGAGGAACTCAGAACACCCACTGTAAGCATGGTATGTAAATCATTCACATCTTTAGTGTGAAAACTAAAAAAGTTCTCAACTACTTTAAAAGCAATAAACAAAGATATAAAATGAGACATCAAAAATGCAAAATATTAAGAGTAGGCATTTGGGACGGAAGTTCAGACTCCACTCGGGATGCCCACATCCCGGGATGCCCAGGCTCCCATATTAACCTGGGTTGGAGTTCCAGCTACTCTGGAGCTCAGCTTCTTGATGCTGTGCACCATGGGAAATAGAAGGTTATGACAAGTACTGAGACTGCACCACCTAGGTGGGAGACCCACATAGAGTTCTAATTGTCTGGCTTTGGTCTGGTCCAGCCCCGGCTGTTGCAGCCATTTGGGGATGGAACCACTGTTTGGAATACCTGTCTGCCTTTCAAATACAATGTAAAAATTGAAAAGCAGTTGAAGAACCTTAAAATCAAACCAAGATGGAGTGACTTAAGCTAACGCTACTAAAAACAAGAAGTCACCTTTGCCCCAAATAAAATTAAAGTTTAAAAATTACAGCCCTAAACTTTTTCCCCAGAGCTAAAATTAGGTGCAGCTATAAAAATAAGGGACCCTATGCTTAGCTAGCTGAGACACTTGCGCCTGGCTGTGCTAAGACCTAACCCAGTTTGTATACCTCCTAATACTCAGATAACGGTGTGGAAAGCGGGACGCTGCTCTCCCTCCAGGGGAACGAAGGGAGCGAGACGTCGTCCCCCTCAGGGTGAACAAGATGACGCTGAGAGGGAAAGGAACTGCTGAAGAAGTAAACAACAAAATGGCGACGAGGTGCATACCTCCCATGTGATCCTGTAGCTGATTGGATAGAGGACGCATGCCCTTCACATGATGAGCTCGCGGATTGGTCGCTGCGGGTATATAAACCATGTGGCTCTGTGCTGGGGGCGCTCTCTGGACTCCCGAGTTCAGGAGGCCCGTCTGCGCAGAAGCCGAATAAATCCTCTTGCTTTTGCATCAGCCGGTCTGGACTCTGAGTCTTTGGGGTGTGTCTCGCGATGTGTTAGCATCCTCACTCAGAGGGTCTAACACAGTTTTTTAAAGAAATATGTATACAATAAACTAAAAACCAGCAGCATATCAAAAAGATAACTCACCATAACCAAGTAGGATTCAACCCATGAGTGCAAGGATGGTTGAATACATGAAAATCAATAAATACCACATCATCAAAATGAAGGAAAAAAATTGTGTGATCATCTCAAGAGGTGTAAAGGCATTTGATAACATCCAACATTGTGCCATAATACAAATCTCTAAGCAGTTTAGGTATAGAAGGAAAATATCCCAACATAAAGGTCATATATAACAACTCAAGCTAAATGGGGAAAAGCTGAAGGATTTTGTCTCAAAATGATAAGACAAGGATGCGCCCTTTCACCTCTTTCACTCAATATTCTAGTCGAAGTCCTAGCCAGAGCAATTAGACAAGAGAGAGAAAGGGCATCCAACCGGAAAGGAGGAAATCAAACTGTCAGTTTCCAGAGGACATGATCTTCCACATAGGAAACCAAAGTAGGGGGGCTGGCATTGTGGCATAGCAGGTTAAGCCACCACCTGAGATGCCAGCATCCCAAATGGGCACCGATTCGAGTTCTGGCTGCTCCACTTCAGATCCAGCTGCCTGCTAATGTGCTTGGAAACGCAATGGAAGATGGCCCACCTGTTTGGGCCCCTGTACCCCTGTGGCAGACCTAGATGAAGGCCCAGCCCGGGATGTGGCCATCTGGGCAGTGAACCAGCAGATGGAAGATCTCTCCATCTGTCTCTAACTCTGATTTTCAAATAATTTTTTTAAAAGAAAAAAATAATCAAAGGGGCAGTGGTTAAGCCAATGCTCGGGGCTTGCCCATAACACATATTAGAGTGCCCGAGTCTGAATGCCACCTTCACTCTGTATTCTATCTTCCTGCCAATGCACTCCCTGGGAAGCAGCAAGTGATGGCTCCAGTAGTTGGATCCCCATCATCCAAATTGGAGATCTCAATTTAATTCCTGGCTCCTGGCTTCAGTCTGGCCCAATCCTGATTGTTAGGAGCATTTGAGAAAATGAACCAGTAAATCGAAGATGTCTCTTTCCAGCTCTCTCTGCCTTTAAATAAGTAAGCAATTTTAAAAGGAAAACCCTAAAGGTTTCGCCAAAAGCTATTAGAACTATACATGAGAAAGAGCTCAGTGATGGTGGTGTGGGGGCCCTGGGACCCCATCTGTGATAACCTCAAGGCAGTTGGCCTCCCCCCAGGGTCTGGGTCTAGGCTGAGATAGCACAGAAGGCTGAGGAGCTGAGCCAGTGGCAGGCTGCAGACCAGGTAGCTCTGGATAACGAGTAGTCAATGTCCATCTTGGACTTGTCTTCTGGAAGCAGCCAGATACACAACTCTTGGGGGCCACAGCCCAGCCAGTACTTGTCACTTTTCTTGGGGCACAGAGATATTGGGGGGCCCCTTGGTGTCTACCAAGGCACTCAGACTGAATGCAGGTGAAGTGGGGTCACTGTTCAGCATGTCCCTGCCAGAGCATGCTATGAGATACAGCTTCCCAGTCACTCTCCCTCCTCCCAGATGATTGACGGCCAGGGAGCGTCTCACTAAGCCGGACATGACGATTTTCAAGAAGCCTCAGATCATGCCCTTAGGGCCTATTATTCCAGGGATAACCATAACCTCTAGTGGAAGGCTAGGGATGCCCCCTAGTGGGCTGCCAGTCTCCACATCCAGGGAGATCCCAATGATGTACACACTAGGGCTCTTAGGATACCTTGTTCTGGCCTCCTATCAGTACCTTATAACTTTAACACCCAAAATGTTATTGACTATGACCACACTTTCCACTGAGGCCCAGTCCATGCTCCTCTTCCTGGCTTCAATGTCGTCCTTCAGAGAGTCTCACAATCTTGGGCTACCCCCAGCTGGGTCCCAATCACTGTTGCCTTGAGAATTTCAGGAATCTTTTGTGAGTCAATCAGAACCCCAGAGAGACTGCTTCCCACTTACACAGCCCACACCTGCTTCAGAGAGCAGAGAACTCCAGGGCCCAGGAAAGGGAACTTGGGAGGAGATCCCCCGTTTCAAAGCTTCAGTTCTGCCAGTATGAGAACTGTGGAAAAGCTTACACCAAGTGGTCCCACCTTGTCAGTCACCAGTTCAAGCACACAGGTGAGAGGCCCTATAAATGCAACTGGAAAGGTGGTACCTGGTATTTCCTGCATTCTGATGAGCTCAGACCATGCACACAGACACATGATACCCCATGGATGTGATCAGCACAGTCAACAATTTCTGATATCAGATCATCTCAGACAACACCAAAGGCTTCATTAGTGGATGCCAGGATCCCCAGACCCAAAGGCCAGAGATGGACAGCTGGATGATTCTCTTGCTCCTTGTCTTTAGGGCAATGTCCTGTTCTCCTTCAGTTTCTCTACTCAAATCCTGCCTATTGACAAGATCTAAGATGGCAGAATAGGGAGAGAGTTTACTGCTCTAGTCTAAGGGAAGACAGTTTACTGCTCTAGTCTAAGGGAAGACAGTTTACAAA